AGCTACATTTTTAAACTGGCCATATAAATACTGCAGACATAGACAGTGACTGAAAGGACACAATATTTCCTTCAAAGTATATGAAATACCTTTAAGGCAGTTGTACTGCAGAACAATAATGCATGTTACATGCATTACTACAGTGCAGTGGTGTTAATTGGTCCTAAAGGAATGACATATGATTGTTAAAGCACTGTGTATCTAAACAATTGCCATTAAAAAAAAAACTTGTTTTCACTCCAGCGATAGTTGTGCGGTGCTTCTCAGGGAAGGATTCCTGCTGGTGACAATAATGGACCATGCATGCATACTTTGAGGAAAATTTACTAAAACTGGAGAACTCAGGATCTGGTGCAGCTATGCATGGTAGCCAATCGGCTTCTAACTTTAGCTTGTTCAATTAAACTATGGCAATAAATCCTAGAAGCTGATTGGTTACAATGCAGGGCTGCACCAAATTTTGCACGGTCTAGTTTTAGTAAATCAACCCCTGTGTGTTGAAACTACCACTTGTAGTCTTCTTCGGGAGCCTGAAAAGTAACAACGCAGGAGCACAATTGGTAGACAAGGATAGGGCATTGTTACCCTACAACCCTTACAGTAGGTACAGCATGAACAAGAATCCTTATGGCAAGATCATCAGGTATTATTTTAATGAACCTTTAATGCTAAAAAGGATTGAAAATTATATTTGAAATTAGCTTAACATGTTAAAGTTTATATTTAGTGACTGGGTTTAGATATACTTTACCAAAGCACTTTTTTAGCATTAATGTTAGCAAGAAGGAATGATAGATTGGCAGCGCTAGTGTTAACAGCCAACAGCTGCCTTCTCTGGTAGACAAGCATCATCTTCTAGAAAAGACAATGTAGTCTGGCACTGGTTATCTCTTGGCAAGGAGTGATCATGCTGGAATGATGTGCCTGCAAATAAGTGTCAGGACCTGTCATCACCACTCATGAGCATAAATATTTAATCCCAATCGAACGTTTGTTGCTGACAATCAGTATTCATTTTTGCTGCAGGTCTGGGACTATCACATTGACACTGATACGCGACATTTTGTCAGATGGCATGACATACTTTCCTCCTACTCTGTTAGTCATGGACAAAACATGGCCTCCGAGGCGTTTGTTCACACACTACACAGCGAGGTAATATTTTATCTGTGCCACACATATTTTATTTATTCATAACTACAGTCAGAAAATACTGATTATTTTATGTTCTAGGCAAGTTGGAATCGTTATTTTGTGTAATGAAACTAACCATCAACTGCAAACTGTAATTGCAATATGTAATTAGATCAAAACACATTCTTTAATATATACAACACTGGGCCTCATGCATCAAGCTTTAGATTACATATTTCATGGTATAAGAGGCATTCAATGTGTTATTACCACACGTGAAAATAAAAATTGATAATTTAGGAAATAAATGTTTTGGTACTTTTAAAACCCAATTTATGCAGCTTTTTCATTCTGTGAAAATTATATTTTTTTTGGCGTTAAGGAGACACTGCCAGCTTAACCATTTAGTGCAAAATGATAGTGTCTTTTAAAAGGCTTCCCCACTGACCCACTGATACTTCTTTTTCTGTTGTAATCAGCACCTAAATCCCCTTGTTGGCTCCGGCCAGATCCAAGGCGGAGCAGTGGTGTCGCACCTTTGAAATATGACAGTGCTCGGGGCCTAGTGACTGGCTATTGGACTCAAGCACTGTCACAGCAGCTAGATATTGTCATTGTGTGTGATATAGGAAGAAGCATCAGTGTCTAGGGATCAGTGGATCAGAGGCCCCTTTGCAAAGACTGTCACTTTGCCCTGAATGGGCAAGGTAAAACATCTCCTTAACCATCTTACTACTGCTGTATTGTAAGAAATCATAGTAATAGTCATCTCTAGCCTTTGGGTGCCAAGGGCACCTGTTAATAACTGTGAACCAAACCATTCAGATGGCTTCCTTCGAGACGCTGTGTATGGAGTCAGTCCAAGAGTCTCTGTACCATATTGATGTGATCACAGACTATTAGAGCGATTGCATAATATATACAGTGTATGTTTAACCACTTGCCCTCCAGAAGAGTTACCCCCTTTCCTGACCAGGACATTTTTTGTGCGATATGACGCTGCATTGTTTTAACTGACAATTGTGCGGTCATGTAATGCTGTACATAAATAAAATTAATGTCATTTTTTTTCCACAAATAGTGCTTTCTTTTGGCGGTATTTGATCACCTCTGCGTTTTTATGTTTTGCACTATAAACAAAAAAAAAGACTGACAATTTTGAAAAAAAATATTTTTGACTTTTTGCTATAAAACATATCCAATAAAAAAATAAAATTTCTTCATACATTTAGGCCAAAATGTATTCTGCTACAGATCTTTGCTAAAAAAATTTAAATATGTGTATATTAATTGGTTTACGTGAAACTTATAGCGTTTACAAATGGCGATATATATACTTATATATATATATATTTTTTTTTATGCTAGTAATGGCGGCAATCAGTCTTACAGCGGAACTGCAGTGGGCATTCTGACACTGGGTGGGAACTGTCTAACTGCCATCTCCAGTGACACTAATACAGTGTCAGTGCTCATAAAAAGCACTGACACTGTACTAATGACACTGGGCAGGAAGGAGTTAACATGTGAGGTGATCAAAGGGTTAATAGTGTGCTGTTTGTGTTTTACTGTGTAAAGTGTGTGGTGTTTTACTAGGAAGACATGCTTCCTTCTATCTCTTTGCTGTGCAGATAGATAGAAAGCAGCATGCCCATGCTGACAGAAGAGGGATCTGTGTTGTTTACACACAGATCTCTTCCCTCTCAGCTTCGCCAACAATCACCAAGTCCCAGCCAGGAATTGCCGGCCGGTACCCGGTGATTGACATTCTAAGGAACCAATTGTAGCGCGGGTAGGGCCCTCTACCCCGAAATGCGAAATCACGTATATTTATGTGATTTTGCACAGCGCGGCCGCTCTGTAGCAGTACATCTAAATCTATGAGCCCTCTCCTTCCCCTTTACAATGGAGGAAACAGAAACAAATGAATGCCTCATTCAATCGCTTATGCTCAGAGACTGCAGCAGATTTAAACTGGGAGGGGTTAATTGTTGAATTATTATTTTTTTTCCCCTTTCACCTCACCTTCTTCCTCGTTCCACTGATCTGCATCCTGTTAATGTGACATGTGTATTAATCCTTAACCCTCCCCCCCCATTACCCAGTACATCTGAACATGAATCCCTTCATCACCCTCCTTCCACTGTCTGTGACCTGTACCCTAACTTTTTCACCATCTCCTCCTTCTGTGTATGACATCTTCTGTTTGTGTATGACGTGTACACATTAAAGTGGAGCTCTAAGCTCCCCCCAAAAAATTAAGGCAGCATTTATAAATATTGTAGCTGCTGACTTTTAATATAAGGACACTTACCTGTCCAGTGATCCAACAATATCCTCACTTGAGCAGATTCTTCAGTCGGCTTCTGGTGCAGACACCTGCATCTTAAGTAAGAGAAGCCACAAGGCACTGCTGGTTTCCTTCTGAGCCTGCCTGAAGCGCACTCCACATTTGTGGGTGGTTCTGCAGTCATCTGGGACCTGGGAGATGTGTCCCAGAAGGCTGCAGGAAAAAGAGATGGTGGTGGGGGGGACTTCTGGCTCAGATCAACACGGCGCATCTGACTGGAAGTGGGAGCTGGTACCTGTCAAGACTAGGTACCCACTCCCCCTAAAAAAGTGCCAAATGTGGCAGTGAAGGGGGGGGGGAGGATGCAAACAAGGGGAACTTTCCCTTTTGGGTGAAGTTCTGCTATAATGTATCTAATGAACCAAGCTCCATGTTTTAAGACCCTCAATACTAGCATGTTTTTTCAAAAAAATGTGGCATAAAATGAGATCATCCTGGAGCAGGGGCAGACTGACCATTTGGAAACTCGGGCACTGCCCGAGGGCCCGGGGTCAGTAGGGGGCACCATGAGGTGCCCCTGGCACCTTTTTCATAAGATTTTTTGAGTTTGGGCAAGGACACAGAGGCCCCATGATCCCCTATTGCCCGGGGGCCCCATGAGTTGTCAGTCCGCCCCTGCCCTGGAGTGTCTACTTTCAAAAAGGAGGTCATTTTGTGGGTGTTGGTTCTGTCCTGGCATTTTATTTGAACAGAAATTAAGGGTTAGTTTTTTTACTTAAATATTTGGACGTTTTTCCTTTTAGAATAAAAAAAAGTGATTATTAAATACCGCTAAAAGTAAGCTCTATCTGTCTCAAACAATGGTTACAGTGTTATATGTGCAATTTCAGTCAAACTATCACAGGACTGCAAACTGAAATGGCTTGGTAATAAAAAAGAGGTATTACAGGCTGGTGCTCAAGTGGTAAAATAATATTTGAAGCAGGTGATACACTGAATATCTGCAGTCTGCACAATACAGTAACAGCATGGTATGTATTTATATCTCCACTGAGAGCTAAAATGGAAAGGAGAAACATGCAGACATTGTTTTAAAAATGTTATCTTTTAAATGTTTGATGCGATGATTTAATCTAATTTTTATGCCATGCAGGGCTCCTGATACCCAGTAGGATATTTATAACAGGTGTACTGCTCAGTGCTTCTTCACTTCCCAGACACCAGCTGCGGAATGAAGTGGGATCCAGGCTGGGAAATGCTTTAAAGCTGCAAGAAACACAGGGGAGGGAGCTCTCTGGATTTCCTTAATACATTGACTGTACTGTGTATGATTTCATAAGGCATACAATGATATTGTAGTCAGTGATATTGGAAGGGAGCCTTGGGATGACATATTTCCATAGTTCCCTTTACCTTTACCCATTTCACCCAAGTTGCTGATTGTTTCTTTACATCCCACCTTCTCTGCTACTGATACTGATCATGCCCATGCTCTCCCATTGCTCTGTTCTCCTTCCAGTGCCCTGAGTGGAGGGCCCTGTGTAAGTTCTGTGTTGCTCAGGGGCGGACTGACAACTCATGGGGCCCCCGGGCAAAGAGGGATCATGGGGCACCTGTGTCCTTGCCCAAACTCAAAAAATCATATGAAAAAGGTACCAGGGGCATCTCATGGGGCCCCCTACTGACCCCGGGCCCTCGGGCAGTGCCCGAGTTTCCAAATGGTCAGTCCGCCCTTGGTGTTGCTCCCTGTCAAAGCTTATACATGGCTAAGGAACTTCCTCCATTCCATGAGAAAATGATTGGTCCTCACACCCCTCAGTTACAGAGCTCTGCATTATGAGAATGAATGGAAGAGAGGCATAGGCCGTTGTCCTTAGGTGCCAGGGAATTTGAAGGGTTTCATCAGGCAAACAGGGCATTTGGGGAATGTAAGTATTTACAACTGAGAGGGCAAACTGTCAGATTACCCTGTTACATTGCTCTGAATGGTGCTCAAGATTTTATTAAAAAACATAAATAAATTATTCTACTTTGCTAATATAACAGATTTTTAAAGCAATATCTGCAGATGTATCCTTGCCAAATTCCACGTCCAGCTTTACAAATTTCAAATACATATTTATTTACTTATTTATTTTTAACGATATCCTAATACATTTTCAGTTGTAGCCCTTGTCAGTAGAGAAAATGCTGCATATTTTCATTAACTATAATATTAAATAAATAATAAATGGGAAATCAGTCATATTTCTCTTTTAGGCATTTATTTATATAAAAAAAGAAAATTGTATATGACAAATCTTGCAGAAATCAAAAAGATATCCAATGCAAAAAAAGTGATTGTATTAAATGGCTTCGCTATATGCAATTTAATGTATTCAGTAAAAGGTATTTTACATTGAAACGCAGTATCAGAGCTACAGCACCTGAAATTCAAGATAAGGTAGAAGTATTGGAATTTTACTTTACTTCATTTATTTATGAATTTCAGTGAAATAGTCCAACTTTGTAACACAAATGAATAGTAAAATATAAATAAATTGCCTTTTTTCCAGCAACTGCTCTACCTTTCAAGCCTATTGACTACCTCAGGCCATCCTGTTCTTTTGGCTGGAGATACTGGATGTGGAAAATCCATTCTTAGCCATGAGCTGCTTAATGCTCTGTGCTTGGGGGATGTAGCAGAGATGTCTGAACTAAGAATTCCCATCAACAGGTAAATATTGTGCACAAACTTCTATAGCATGACTTGTCATTCGTAGTCCTAATTACTTCGTGGACAGACAAACCTGCAAAATATTGTCTATGCAATATATCAACACTTGCAATTTTAAAGTTTTAGATTATGAAGTTTTAGAATATGAAAGAGTTAAAACCCCAGTCAGATTTATTATCGTTACCAGCGTCTCATTGAGATTTCTCTTCTCTTACTGTCTCCTAGACACAAAAGTAAACAGGATAATATTTTTTTTAGAGTATGGGAAATCCTTTCTTTACTTTTTTGTGTTCACTTGGGCATTGAGAATAAAATATATGGGATATACCCAGAGCATTAATTTGTGTTTTATATTATATTTTAGATGCATTTTGGAAGCATTAGAAAGCTCTTCAGAAGATTTCCAAATGTATTTTTTTCTTGAAAGCCAGGAATAAAACAAGGAAAGAGACTTGATGTAGCACTCACAAAATGCCTTAGCAGCATTTAGAACACAGTTGCGCTGTGCTTCCATTGACTTGAATTGAGGCTGTGGCGGGGCGGACTGACAACTCATGGGGCCCCCGGGCAATAAGGGATCATGGGGCCCCTGTGTCCTCACCCACACCCAAAAAAGCCTATGAAAAAGCCAATGAAGAGGTACCAGGGACACCTCACGGGGCCCCTTACTAACCCCGGGCCCTCGGGCAGTGCCCGAGTGCTCGAATGGTCAGTCCGCCCCTGGGCTGTGGCAAGCTTTGGATATTGTAGGCGACATTAAAATTAACATGAAGAGACAAAAATGTATTTGTGAACTAGATCATTTGTGATTTTCGTAAAGAAAAAACATTTGCTTTACAAAGCAATTACAGTATCTATGCTTGTGTGGCCATAGATAGTTGCAACAAGTGGCCCCATTGAATCAAAATGTTGGATTACCCCTGTTTTACAGTGCTGGTGACACAAGTTACTAGGACAAACAGGGAATATTCTATCCATTCTAACCATTCTATCCTAAACAAAAAACAAAAAAGTTTGGGGTTTAGATAAACATTACCATGTTTCTATACCTAAAACTTTTATTTAGTTTTGGTTAAAATGAGGATAGATTAGAACCACTTACTGCTATCTCAGGATTCATTGGAAAGATTTCTCCGAACTTCTTGTTCTGAGGACAAACTTTACTTGACTTGAAAGTGAGAGAAAATATGCAACAGGGAAACAGACATCTTTAAAAAACTGGCAGAGGTTCTAACAAGCCCCTACTTAATGTAAACAAATCATTTTATTTCTGCTTGTGTTACTGTTTGAGAAAATGTGCCCTCATCTCTGTCCTGGGGACAACATTTTTACCAGATGGAAAGAAAAGAAATCTCTCCAACTGAGTCTCCGATTGCAGTATAATCTACCAGGTCATTCCCTACTCTATCCAAAACCAAAAAAAATGTTGTCTATAGATACATTTTAAGTATACCTGTATTGGTTTTGCATTGTAAGTGGCATGTACCCAAAAGATGAAGTGAGGGGTTCAAAGAAAGGTATAAATACAGCCTTTGCCATAAGCAAAATTCATTGAGTGTAGATTCGTCTTTGGAATATTTTTATTGTTATTTTGTTTTATTGTTTTTCTAAAAGTATATACCATCTACCAAATGCTCTTAGTAAACTTCTTCGCAAACAGACCATTATAATTTAAGCGGTGCATACTCTCAATCTGATTAGTTTAGGTTGCTAGTTTTATGGTTTGTGATCCATAATTAATAGCAGTTAAGAGCACTGCAATTGGTATATTAAAAAATCCCCTATTTTACTGATAAAATAGAGAGGAGCACCGGCAAGGCCCTTTCTCCCTTTATGCAATATCATGCTCTCATCTCAGACATCCCTTGCCTCCTGGTCTCCATTCACCTCCCACTCATGTGCATACAGAGAGAAAGGTGTTGTGATACAAGATATGCATCACTGTGCAGTTCTCTTGCTGTTTGGCTAACCTAGTTTAGATTCGTGATATTTTTTGTGTGCTTTAGAAGTCTGTACCAATACACTCTGTACAGTATACACAATAATAGACAGCATTCTAAAAATGTGATATGAATGCAGATTTTGGTTATAAAAAATCTTGTCTTGAACACTAAAATGGCAGACAGTGCACATCATAAAAATTATGTGTATTTGTTAGTTCAACAGATCCTCGGAGACTATGGGGATGCTTAAAAGATCGACTGGAGTGGCGACATGGCACATTGCATACACCAGCAGGAAACAAGAAATTGTTATGTTTGCTTGATGACCTCAACCTTGCTAAGGTGATTACTCAATACTCAGGAGACTAGACTAAGAAGCCTATTATTGCAAATTAGTTTGGAAGACCTGTCTTGCTGAGGCAAATCAAAAGTACATTTTATAAATGAGGTTCTTGCAAGGTTAAGCATTGTACACAGCAGATGCACCGATGGCGATTTCAGGATAATTGCACTGAAATGTGTTCATTCAGAATTAGCCAGGATAATATAAATAGAACAAAGGTTTGCCTCAAACCTGTTAGAAGCAACAAAAAGTACTCTAGGCTCCTATCTTGAAATAAATATTGTATTATTTTAGTTGATGTGGAACTCATGTCTTGAATAGAGAGGGGAAGGGCTAGAAGATCTATCTAGTTGTTATTGCTGCTTGTGCTCTCATAGATTTCCACTTCCTGTCCTGATGATAACATTGTTGTGGTGACCGGAAGTGAAGGTTATACCAGTAATAAAAGATAAAAATATTAACTGGAGTTCAAATATACATATGGATAGGTTTTAAAGAACATTTATTCAAGTGTTAACTTTATTTGAAATGCCAAAAATCAGAGTGTATTAACCCATGGCAACCAATCAGAACTCAGCTTAGTCTAATTTGATTGCGTTGGGTTCCTAACCTGTGCACATTATCATTGCTCTTTGCCCAGCTTTATTGAATAAACTCATGTTACCATGAAGGGAATTTCTATGTAATCTAAAAGCAAACACTTGCTTCAGGCCCTTGGTTCAGACCCTATTGTTCTTCCCTCATCTGGCATACTCTTGGTTCAGACCCTTTGCTGCTTCCCTAATCTCATAAACACTTGCTTTAGACCCTTTTCTTCCACCCCTCCACCATCTGGCACACTGTTGGCCAAGATCTTTTTCTACCATCCTCATCTAGCATACTCTTGGTTCAGACCCTTTTCTACTTCTCTCTTCTGCTCCTCTCATTAGATTGTTGCTTACATTTGCTAGTTAGTTTCCATTTTCAGCCCGGATGACTTTATTCGTCTTAATACAGATGTTCTACTGACATCTAGCATGGGGCTGCTGTGCACTCCTTGTTTTTTTGGTTTGGTGTTATTGGGAATAAATATTCTTTCAGTAAAAGTAGTATTACAACAACAACAACAACCAAAAAAGAAAGACCCTGTTATTTCACTTCCGTATTCATCCATCTTTTCCCATCCTTTATTCAGTATTAATCTTTTGTTCATGCAAACGTTTTGTGTTTCTATAATGTTTTCCTATTCCTTTTACATTGATCTTTGCACAAAACTAGAATTGAAAATATAATAAAAACTTAATGAGAACAGATACTGCAGTTTACATTTGTTTCCCTTTAATGTTTATGTACAAAGATGAAAACTATGGTGAATAAATCTGGAGCATGGTGTCATTACACACTTAGACACAAACTGACATCTGCACAAAAATTCAGATTCCATACTGTGCCTGCATACAGTGCATATAGAAAGTATTCACAGCGCTTAACTTTTGCCACATTTTATGTTACAGCCTTATTCCAGAATGGATTAAATTCATTTTTTTCCTCATTAAAAATAAAAAGCAAATAAAACCACATGTACATTAGTATTTACAGTCTTTGCTTAATACTTTGTTGAAGCACCTTTAGCACCAATTAAAGCCTCAAGTCATTTTGAGTATGTTGCTACAAACTTGGCACACCTATTTTTGGGCAATTTCTCCCATTATTCTTTGCAGTACCTCTCAAGCTCCATCAGGTTGGATGGGGAGCGTCGGTGCACAGCCATTTTCAGATCTCTCCAGAGATGTTCAATCAGGTTCAAGTCTGGGCTCTGGCTGGGCCACTCCAGGTCATTCACAGAGTTGGCCTGTAGCCACTCCTTTGTTATGTGGGCTGTGTGCCTTAGGGTCGTTGTCC